GGAAGATCTTATCTTAGAACTAGCTTGTATATATTCCCAAGACAAACACCAAACCTCTGTGACTTCACCCTGTCATGACTATAAACATCTGTTACAACCATTATCTGGTCATGAGGTAGTGCCAATTTCTGTAAAACTGTATTATGCATCTATACGTTTATCTTGGTCACGGGGTTTTCGCCCCCCCTTTGAACAGTATTTCAAAATTGGAAAAATAAAGCATTCAAACAGAACAACATGTTTGTATTTCAACAGAAATTCTGAAAAATATTTTAATTCTGAAACTCAAATTTGCTGGAACTCATGTGGCCACATGTTGCAGGCAAGAGGAGAGGTTTTGAAATAAATGGTTACTCTCTAAGGCAAGATATTCATGTTATCCAGTGTCTGAACTCAAATGGACTGACTGCAAACAAACCTCAATTTGTTTAAGTCTTCATTCACAAAAGCAATTTCTTTTAAGTCTTCAAATTGTACACATGAAAGACTGAACCACTGAATAACACTATTACGTTATAAAAGATACTAATATTAAATAATAGTTATTTTCTGCTAAAAAGGTAACATTCAGAAACACTTTAGCAAGTGTCACACAGTTACTACCCATGTTCTGCATTTTCCTTCCAAGGCAAATATTCTGGGAGTTCAAAATTGTTAACTGGTATCAAAATCTCCTTTCTTATGGTTTTCGATCCCTCCCAAACCAGTGAAGAAACAGCAGCAATTATTCCCCCACCTATAAAATACATAGGCTCAGCTTCAACAGCTTACGAGAAAAAAACCAGAGAACTTGAGATTTAGTGGTTTTCTATGCAGAGTAAGCCCCCCATCCCTTGTTCTTCACTTTTAAAAAGTTAAGCAGCTAAATTAACAGAGTAACCCAAAGAGCTGCAGGACTCCATGCTAACTATTCTGCATTCAAACATGCGCAACGACTGTAAGGTAAGGCTATAACCAGGATCACGCTTAGTAGAAAATACAAAGCTTGTCCTTTCTAAATTAAAATCACACAAATAATTACAGGCTAGTCAGTTCATTGCAATTTAAGAGAAATGGCAAAGCTTATTACGTTACTTTTTAAATTAAATGAGAAAGCAAAACGTAGCAGGCAACATGCACAACTATGCTACTTATATGACAACTTCAGTAAACAGGCAATAAAACACAAAAGCTCACCACCCCCCGCAAGAACCTACTGTACAGAAAGCCCTCTTAAGATTCACTCCTACAATGCAGTTAAGTAGAAGATTTCAGAAAAGGAGGCACAAAAAGAAAAAGAAAAAAAAAAAAAGACATTTAGCAGACTTAACAATTCGATTAAACAGAGTCCTGAGAGTTTAACAAAAGTTCAACAGCATACGCATAACATTTACAACAAGAAAGAAGAAAGGCACCTGGAGACATCTGACACTGGGCATGCTCTGCAGGCATCTCAGTGCGCACATGCTCTCTACCAGGTTGGAGCAGCCTAGCCACAAAGACCTTGGCACAGAACACTGCAGGGTGACAAAAAGGAAGGAAGAGAAGAAGCAGTTAGATGCCACAACAAATCACTCAAGGCACGCAACTCATTAGTATGTTAACGTGGGTACTTATCTATGTTATTTCTACATTAATCACAAGGTTAGCAGCCAAGGGTAAAATAACAACTGAAGATCCTTTTCAGGAAATAAGCCATCCCTCTGTCCTATCAAGGATAACGAGCTGATTTTCCACATTTGCAACCTCTTGGCTTTAGTGCCCAGCCAAACATTTTCACTTACTACCAGTAACACCAGAGTTACTACAGTTTGGGTCCCTCAGTTCTGCAATGCATCGACACATTGCTGCTGACAAAAGACGTCCTGCTGCAGCGGGGGAAGATGCCTTACCCAGCAAACTGGCCTGGCCGTAATTCCTTGGGAGGTTTTTACCTTTGCAGTCACCCCTGGGGAACAGAAGTGCAGGAGCTTCTCATCAGGGTGGCAAGTCTTTAGAATACAACCTGGAGGAGCTTTAGTAATTAAGGTTTGGCACCCCACGCTGTCTCAACTTTCTCAAACAATTTGTGCTTATTTATTCCGACAGCAAAGCCGACATTAACTTCTGAGGTTACAGTCTATGTACAGGGACACTGACAACCAAAAAATTGGAAGTATTTTTTAGGGAGGAACACCACCTAGCTAAGTTCAAATTGCAAGGCCCAAGTTTAGCTTAGTCAAGATGCATGTATCCTGATTAAATGCGTTACTGGGGGAAAAAAAATTTGTATTATCAGTTGAGAGTATCCTAGAGCCAAATTATACCCTAACTATATTTATTACTCTTACCACCACCCGAGCCAGAAAAAACCAAGCTTAACTACCAGACTCCACATTGCGGACACTAGAAGTTAGGAAAAGTTTGGAAATCCTTTTTGTTTCTTTTCTGAAGCTGAAGAAATTTGATGCAGATTCCCCAAACCTTTTATAGCTCCATGATATCATTTCACAGTGCCTTTTAAGGACAGAATAGTACATAGACTACATAACCATCAGATAAAGTTAGGGAAAAGGATCCAATTCCTCACTATCAAACAGTGCACAAACCCAGCTCTAAAATTTGGCACAGACTTAGCTTTCAGTATTTTTCTCACAGCCTTCCAATTTAGTTACAACAAACACCGAATCTTTAAAAGACAAATCCCACACAGATCAAAGTTGAAAGTGGAATAATCAGAGGTGAAGACTCAGGGAAATCAGTTTGTGCCAGTAATGATGGGAAGGAGGGAGCCCAGAGCAACTGAAGAGGTTAATAACTTGGGTTTTTTATTATTTCATATCTTATGAATAAACCAAAAGAACACCCAATATTTTCGTCTCTGTGCTAAGGAGAGAAATTGAAGCAAAAACAGGGCAAGAATGACCCTAGCACCACCAAAACACACTGGAATTCTCTCTCCTCTTATCCAGCAGGAAGGTCGCAATTCCATATCGATACTCTGTGCTATGCACTTGTCATGTGAAGACTGGGTGCATATACCTTACGTGCAGAGGTAAAAATAAACATATTTATGCTGTATTGTATTAGTCTTCCTTCAATATCAAAATAAATGTTTTCTATTATTAAAAGTTTCTTAAGTTTGGAGATACATGATTTTTCATTTAGCTATCAAGTAATTAATCTAGTATATCTATAATTACTTTGCAATAATTTACTTTGACATGTCCTCACACAAGCGCTTGAAATTTAGTTCCCAGATTGTTCTAAGGTGGTCAACTAGTGACATTAGGGAAATTACCTTAAGTTCAACAAGACACCAAAACAAAGATTTTAATATTTTTAAAGCAAGATAAGACGTACTGTTCAAACCCACTGATATTGAAGATGCAGGATCTTACATAGACCGTTTATAGCTCTGCTTCAAAACAAGCGTATATAAATCAAGAAACCTCTTTTCTAACTGCTTTCATCATTTAATCCTATTTGGCACAATACCTGCATGGTGTTTTCACAACCCTGAACCATCAAAATTCAGGGCATCACTGCAAGTATTTATTAAAGCTCAAATAAATTTTTGCATTTTTAAACACACAGGCCCGGTAAAAATTTTATTTCTGCTCACATCACTTAGTAAAAGTCATTGATCGAGAAACACAACAAACTTCTAAGATTTTCAGGCAAGATGTACAAAACTGTGCATCTAATGTGTATAATGAATCTACACCTACAAGAGTCCACAAATTATGAGCTAAAATTCACTGGTTTAGGTTATTAGTCTGTGTTTTCTTTTAGGAACTACTTTAATAAGCTGAATTTTAAGAACTTAAGAGAAACATGGGTAACTTGAGAACAATTTTTTAATTTAGTTCAAAATACATTAGACACAGAGGCCATTTCCATGCCAAGTTTAAGCCACACAAAAACCTTTCCACAGTATTATGAAACCCTGAATAAAAGGATTTATAAAAATCACCAAACACTTTGCTGTAGCAACGATATTGCACAATACTACAAATTAAATATTGCATTCTACTTCACACTAAAACAGGAATGTGCAAATATTTGCTTCACTGACATGTTATTTCTTGACCCTGCTTGCATAGGAACTGTCACAAATAAAAGCATAATAGTGTACTAAAGATTTAATTTTTGCGTAACAAGAGCCTGAACTTACGCCTTCGCTTTCCACTTGCCTTTCATCAGGATCCCAGGGAGATACAGCGAAGTTTGGGAAAGGGAAAATGATACTGGCCAACGGGCATAATATTAACCGCACACAGAAGCCAGCATCAATCCCACCAGCAGACAACAGAAGCACAGAGGTGAAGATAAGGCCAATCAAAACTTACATTTTAAGGAACAAACTAGTTTGCAATGCAGAGTTTTAATCGACTCACATTAAAACAGCTGTGTGTTCACCTGAACGCACTACTTGCAAGGGAGGAGCAAGCAGATGAAAGAGGGGCTTTACAGCTTCGTGGCAAGGAGTGAATGATGCTGAAAGAATAAAGACAAACAGAGAAACCCACATTCTGATCTTTCCTTGTGTTTGGAAAGATTAATACATTAATTTTATTATTATACGATTGATTTTAATTCTATACACAAAGAACTGCTTTGGTGGTCCAGCTTCAGGAATTACATTTCAAGATTTAGGTTTCACTCTTACATCTCAAATTTAAGAAATCTATGCAAATGCTTGCATTTACATTCAAAACTATAAATTCTCAGTAGTATCAGTAAAAAGGGAATATGCTTCAATGTCTTTAAAGGTCAGACACTAAGAACTTCTTATATTAATAGTAAAGCATGCAGCAGTGTTCTACCAATAAATCAACTTTGTAGGCGTTAACTTTTAGGATAGAGGCACTAAAAAAAAACACCCAAAACCCAAACCTATCAGCCCCTGAACAATCTAGTTTTCATTCACTACGGACTTCTCATAGGTGTACAGCACTGCTATTCTGTTAAAGCACTGTAAAATGTCCAGAAATCTTTCATTTCAGTGCAGAAATCCTCACACTTTCTTACCCCTTAAAAAAACAAAAATCACCCGTTTGTCCTATAAAGTCCACTAAATTGCTCAAGAAATGAATATATACTATGGCCTGTGTTCCTGATGGAACTAATACACCTCTGATATCCAGGGATGGAAATATTGCAATGTCATAATTAAGAATGACAGCATTTACATAACCAAGGCTTATTGCTGTAAGTTTTATAAAGTAATAAAATTATGACCTTGGAATTTTCCACTGCATTCATTTTGTTTATACATGATAATTTAAGGAATAAGAATTTATTGGTATGTTTAAAAGTTTGGGAAATTCTGTTCTTAGGGCAAAAATATCCTTGCTTTTGAAAATCAGTTTCCAGACAGAGTCCAAAAAAGATTGGCCAAGGAAGGTATTTTGGAATTTCAAAGAAAAATACAGTAAAACAAATGAAGGAGCTAATTTACTCCATTTTTTAAAAGGAAAATTACTAATTATATTAATTCACTCCTCCTGCAACAACTTTTTTCTTAGGCAGTTTATCACAACACGAAATTGAACATAAGAACCTAACAAATCATTCAAGTTTACAAACCCTAAAGTCTGAAATGCTTTTCCCAACTTTCTTGTGACAACAAACCAGCTCCTCAGTAAGGTTAGTTCACATTCTGGACGTCCACAGGGCTACGAAGAGAGATCTGGAGTGCCATAAAAGGTACAACCAAAAAAAACTTTAACCTTCTTTCTGAATTCTCTTCAGGTTTTTAGTTTTAAGAAACTCACATGCTATTCAACATTGGTAATTTACTGTTTAGTTTACTTTGATTTAGGCCTGGACCAACAGAACTGATACTTCTTTGTTTCCATTAACACTTAACATTGATATATTCACGGGGTAACTGCTGTCACTGAAAACCCTCTCTATGGCTGAGAATGACAGATGCTTTCCCTGGTAGCTCAGATTTAATGCTGCAAAAAGGGATATTCTGAAAAGCAAACTTGGACAGTATGACCATTTATGAAAGCTATATGCTCCCAAGTACAATTTAATATCAAGCTTAGATCTCAGTTTCTCAAAAATCAGCATTAACCACGACAAGACAATAAAAAAAAATACAAAGCAGTAACCCTGTTCAAAGGCCTTCAGTATTATTTTACACTCAGCAGAGAACTGGTTGCCAACTACTCAAACTCCATCCCCTTTCGCTAGCTGGGATATCTTCCAGATCTTACCTGGTGTTTTTACCTTAAGTGATTTATTCAAAATAGTAACAAGCAGAACAGTGTTGAACCAACTAGGTATCAGAATGAGTAGTCTGAATATTTGTAAGAGGTGGAAAAGTAAAAATGTCACAGTATACTCTTAACCGTGAATACTTAATCAGAAATAAAGTGTGGGGGCATGCATGTAACACAAATACACGTGTTCCACAAGTGACAGCCTGGCTTGGCACGGTAACACATTCACTACACTGCACATTTTGGTACGACATTTAGTATCTTTGCAGAGGTACTCCGCAAAACAAAGAAACAAT